CAGGACCAGTGGTATGAGTGGCGAAACAAGGAGGGTAGAGGGAGAGTGGGTAGGAAAGAGGGAAGGTTGAGAACCGCTGATCTAATGTAACAACAGTATTTCACAAGTGAAGAAATAGAGGAGTTATATACATCTTGCACTTTTTCTACTGTACCAATTACCTTTAACCCTGGGTTACCTTCCATAATGTGAGCTTATTTCCTTAATTTTTCTCTGCTTACCTTTTTTTTAACATTTTAAACTTTATTCTGAAGAAGTTCGAACATACAAGAGGACTTTTTAAAAAGTTCATAGGAAAACACAATTAGCTTTCAATTCCATTTCTCCACAAAATTTTTGAAACTCATTCATAAGAAAAGGAGAAAGAGGAAGCTTTTACTCCTGTAAAGAGTTACGGTCTCGGAAACTCAATTCTACCCTACCCCAAGGTGCTTTGAGTCAGCATCAACCAGATGGCAGTGAGTTTGCCTTTTTGGATTTCATATCAAAGGAGATCTACTATTCTAATTGTAAAAATGGCTCAGGGGCCACCTATGACCTCTGATTTCACAAGGGGAAAGTCTAGGTCTGATTTTGGGGTCAGAGGTCAGACATGCCTCCACCCTGCTCCACTTAAGACACAGCTGTTCTTCCCACAGCACATTCTATTTCTCTGCTGGGCTCAAGTAGTTCATTGCAATTGCCACATTTTAGAACTCAGTACAACTATGCAGTGTGTTAGGGACGTTAACAAGTTACAATTTAGGCTCAGAAATGCTCGGAACATAGTTCCCAACTGTAGCATAACTGCAGACAGGCCTCTCGGCCTCAGTTCTGCAGCCCCTTGGCCACCCCAGTGCAGACAGTGTTAGAAAGCTCTCTTGTTTCCTGCAGGCAGTGCTCTGCTGTATTTTTAGAGCTGCCATAAATCCCCCAAGGGTGTGTCCATATTCCTGCCATAGACTTCATCCCAAAGGTACTCAGATTTAGTTCTGTGAATCAGCAAAGGTAAGCTCCCTCACGTGCCACTTGGCACCCCACTCCAAAAACAAGCCTCTGCCCCAAAGCACTCAGCTTTATTCTGTGAGACAGCCCACTGTTCTGTCTCATGTTCTGGTTGTGGTTCTGCTATGGCTTCTCTGCTGCATGTACCTCTAGGCTTCCAGCTCTGTCTCCTGGACTGGAATGTAGCCCGCAGGAATCTCCAAGACAAAAGTATGTGCTCCACTCCTGGTTCTTAATGATACACACACACATCTCCTGCAGAGTCACTGGGTGAGTTAGAACCACCAACTTTTTGGTTAGCAGCTGAGCATTTGAACTACCAGGGCTCCTTACACCATTATTACACTTTAAACAGTTGGCATTACTCCTATAATCCCATCAAATATGCAATCACTTTTCAAATTTCAGTTTTCTCCTAAGTGTAGTAAATACTGTGGGTGGATGTTTACAATTTGTTGCATGAATTAGGATCTAAATAGGGTTCACATGTAATAATTGGTTGATCATATCTCTCAAGGGTCTGTCTGGAGGCTCCGTGTCCTCACTTACCACCGCTACGAAGAGAAGAAACTAGGCTGTTCGTCCTGGAGTGGTGCCTGCAGTCCGCCCTTTGTTGATTGCCCCTTCTTGGTGTCATTTAACAAATTTCGTTGTCTTCTGTGAAGCTCTGGTGGCACAGCGTTAGGCCCTGGGCTTCTAAACAAAAGGTCAGCAGTTGAAAGCTTGCACTCAATGCACAGGAGAAAGGTGAGGCCAGCTGCTGCCAGAAAGGCTTACAGCACTGGAATCTCTATAGAACAGTTCTACACTGCTCCATAGGGTGGCTGTGCATCAGAAATGACTTCATGGCAGCAGTGGGTTTGACTGGTTTGCGTTTATCCTTTGTGTTTCTTTCCATTGCTTTTCCTCATCTTTGTTAAACTTTCAGTGAGTCTTTAAAAACAAAAACAAAAAAACCAAAACAGTTGCCACGGTGTTAACCACAACTCAAGGCAACTACATGTGTTTCACAGTTGCATATGCTCCCCAGTTTGCAGGGATGGCTTTTCAAAAACGGGTCACCAGGCCTGTCTTCTGAGGTGCCTGATGGTAGGTTGGAACCTCCAACCTTTCAGCTAGTAACTGAGTGTTTAATTGTATGCACCACCCAGGGCTTCCTTTGTAAACCCTAACTTATCCAGACTTACCATGTTGTGCTGTTGTAGTGATAGCATGTTCATGGGGAGATTGACTAGCACTGAAGACTGGGGATTCACCAGGCAGACCTATGGAGGAGCAGGGAGAGGGATAAAAGGGGAGATTTTAGAGTTAAGTAAGCATGGGTGGAATCCGGAGTGTAACCTTGAGCAAGCTACCTGAATCTGACTGTTCATCTGTAGAATAGCAATGCCTATCTCATTAACAGTTGAAAACCAAAATCCCCAGTCACACAAGGCTTTCAGTGATCTTATCTGATCCCTCCCTCTCTTTTCCTTGCACCTCCAGCAACACTGGCCCACTGGTGGAGTCTGCTGCTCTTACAGGCTGCACCTTGAAAGTGTGATCTTGTCCATGGCTGTGCTGGCAGGTTTTGTCCCTGTCAAAACAAACACACACCGTCAACCTAATGATGCCTTTCCCTTCCTTCTTTCCTTAGTAAGACTTCTTCATATGCAGATGAGGTAGCACCTACTCCCACAGCCCCCCACTGAAACCTTTTAGGAAAATATATATCTGCTCCATTATGCTCCCCACAGTACCTACTTGTGATCCCGCAAACCCCCACCACCTTCACCCTATTGTCATGCTGTTTTGTCTTGTCTCCACTGGACCATGGGTTCTATAGGGGTCGAGGAAATAGTTTCATTCTTCTGTGTTTTCTAGCAAAGGGCTCCCATGGGTGTTTCAGAAATCCTTATTTAATGAGTACTGATAACATTAGCATTTGATGGAGCATTTTTCATACTCTTTTCTCTTGGCTTCAACATTTTAGGATTGAATGACAGACAGCATGTGCATATTGTCTCATGCATCACATGCTCTCAGTAAAAAGTGTCCATTCTTTTACCCTGAATATTAGGACAAAGCTTCAAACTACCTCTGAAATACTTCCTGACTTCACCCCCTCCCCTTTTTTTTCTGTCTTTTCTTACAGCTTTTTAGCTATACCTTAATTACATGTACCTATGCCTCTCTTAGGAGGCCTGGTTAAGCATTGCAATCCTCATTTTCGGCAGTTCAAAACCACCAACAGTTCCTGGAAGAAAGACTGGGCTTTCTACCCCCATAAACAGTTACAGTCTCGGAAACCCTCGGGGGTCACTATGAGTCAGCATTGACTGAGTGGCAGTGTGTTTAGGTTTTTGGTTTTATTCCTCTCCTAAGGAGTCCTGGTAGTTTGCTGGTTACACATTGGGCTGCTAACTACAAGGTCAGCAGTTCAAAACAGCGTGGCTCCTCAGGAGAAAGATAGGGCTTTCTACGCCTGTAAAGAGTTACAGTCTTAGAAACCCATCTGTACTGTCCTATCTCTCTTAAAGGACCTTTATGAGTTGGAGCCAGCCTATAAAACCCTGTGGCAGTAGTTTTATAGTCCTTACTAGTAAAGACAGTCTCATTTCTGTAGGGCCCAACACTGTAGTGGGAAACTCAAAACGAAGCCAGTTGTCATCAAGTTTATTCAGATAATGGTGACCCCATGTGTTTCATAGTGCTGTGCTCCATAGCATTTAGAGCAGTGGTTCTCAACCTGTGGGTCAAAACCCCTTTGGGGGTCGAACCACCCTTTCACAGGGGTCACCCGATTCAGAACAGTAGCAAAATTAGTTATGAAGTAGCAACAAAAATAATTTTATGGTTTGGGGGTCACCACAACATGAGGAACTGTATTAAAGGGTCGAGACATTAGGAAGGTTGAGAACCACTGGTTTAGTGGCAGTCATATTTCAGAAGTGGATTCCCAGGCCTTACTCCAAGATGAGTTCAAACCATCAAACTTTTGATCAGAAGCTGAATGCTCACCTTTTCCATTGCCTGGGCCTTATAAGCTCTGAAGGAGAGAAGGAAAGGTGTTTATTTGTATTATTCTGAAGCATCCAAATTGCTGATTCTAGATATATCTATATGTATTCTATGAAGACTGTCTAGATTCATCCATTCATCCCAGTTCATCTTCTGTATTCTTTCTTCAGGATGTCTGTCCTGTTGCCAGCGGAAGTACTCCCTTCAGCCCATCCCCAAGAGGAAGATTCCAAACCGATACTTGGGCCAGCCCAGCCCCCTCACGCACCCACACCTCCTCAGGCCAGGTAATGCCTTTTAACCTTAATAAAGATCTCCTTACTTGGGTGCTTTATCTAGAACTGTGCTCTCCTGTCCCAACAAGTTTTTTGCACTGAGGGAACTATTGTAGATTTCTACTGTCAGGATGGTAAACATTAGCCACATGCGTCTATTGAACACATACCCTGTTCATAGTGCAATTCAGGAGCTTACATTTTTATCTTACTTTAAATTGAAATGTCAGTTTAAAGTACCATATAACTATGCAGCATGCAGCTAGTCATATGGTATTGGGCAGTATTAGGTAGAAAGCAACATAATTTGTGAAAAATATGTATTTAAGAAAAGTTATGTTACTGCCTTCTAGAGCTCCAAATCGTGATTCTTTGGAAATGACGCTGTTGAATCAAAATGTTATATAATAAACATTTCTGTAGGTCATGCAGGCATTTCAGATCGGATTGTCACAGCTTTGAGAGGTAGTATCCCAATTGATAGAGGTGATGTGACAACTTGATAAAGGTTTCCGTCACTTTTTTTTTTTTAATCTGTGATTAAGATCCCAGTGTTGCTATCAGAGGATGTGTCATCCCCTTTGCTCAAATTCAGACCAAAAGATTAAAAAGGGGTGGGAGGGCTTTAAAGATTATACTTTGGGCAATGAATATTATCCCAAAGAGAGCATAAACAAAGAGCTGTGTATAAAACTTGTCAGATCTCCAAGAAAAGTTCATTCTTGTGCTTCTGCCAGGGGGAGTTAAATCTATACAGTGAAGCGTAAAGGGTTAATGTTTTATTTGTGGACGGTAAACTACAGAATTTATTGGCAACATAACTATATATAGGTAGAACACATGAGGCAGTTCCAAGACACTCATAAACAAACCAAGTTATGTGTGTTGGACATGAGTGATACGGAAATTCAGAACAGTTTGCCCTAGTAATTTCTCTCCTGTGAGTACTCATAGAAACATAAGGACCTAAGTGTACCTGGAGATAAATACAAAAATGTATATTGTAGTGTTGCTTAGTGTGGCAGCAAGCTAAAAACAATATAAAGGCTCACAAATAAGAAAATGGCTCAATAAATTGTTATAGCCACTCCAAGGAATATTAAAGAGACATAAATGGACTAGATTGAAGCTAGACCACATGACTTGGTATTGTTGTATTAGAATGGCAAGATACAGGATAGAGTATTTACTATGGTTCCATTTTTATAAAGCAATGTTGGTGTTTTCTGAAGTGCTCTGGAGTCAGCTCCAAGTCATACCGCCTTATATACAGCAGAGCAAGCCACCACCATCCTTGTTATATTTGAACCTTTTGTTGTAGCAACTGTATCAGTCCTTCTCATTGGAGATCATCGACTTTTTCTATGACCCTTTAACTTTACCAATAATGTTCTTCTCCACGGACTAATCTTTCCTGATACATGTCCAAAGTACACGCCATCCTTGTTTCTTAGGAGCGTTCTGGCTGTACTTCCAAGACAGATTTGTCTATTCTTTGGGCAGTCCATGGTATTTTCAGTGTTTTTCCCAACACCATAATTCAAATACTTAAACTTTTCATCAGTCTTCCTTGTTCATTGTCCACCTTAAGTTCATGTGAGGTGATTGAAGAGGCGATGGCAGGGTCAAGCCAAACCTTTGTCCTCAAAGTGGTATCTTTGCTCTTGAACACTTTAAAGAGGTGTTTTGCAGAAGATTTGGAATACACCATCTAATTTCTTGACTACTGCTTCCATGAGCATTGATTGTGGACCCAAGTAAAATAAAATCCTTGACAACTTCAATCTTTTCTCCATTTATCACAATGCTGCTATTGAACCCATTGTAAGGATCTTTGTTTTCTTCACATTGAATTGTAATCCATTCTCAAGCATGTATTCCTTCATCTTCATCAGTAAGTGTTTCAAGTCCTCTTCATTTTCAACAAGCAAAGCTGTGTCATTTGCATATCACCTTTGTTAATGTATCTTCCTCTCCTTATGGTCCAACATCTTGAATTATTTGCTCAGCATACAAGTATGATAAATGGATATAAACTTGACACACACTTTTCCTGATTTTAAAACTATAAAGTATCCCCTTGTTTTGTTCAAAACAATCATGGAAAATAAAAGCCTGGATGTATGTGTGTCTATATATGATCATATAGATATATAAAGATACTAGATTATTCATATGGAAGCGATACTGATGTAGGTCAAAGAAAGGAACGGGTGCAAGAAGCTCAGTTTGATGAAGGAAAGGAAAATCGAATTTTAACTATAGAAAGAGGATTGTGATTACATTTATGAACTATGGAGTATATATATATATATATATATATATATATATTTGAAATTAAATAATTAACTTTAAAAAATAATTCAAAGAGACAAATTTGACCTGAACTAGTCAGGGAAGCTTTATGATTGAGAAAAGTCTAAAAACAAACACATACTGAGTTCAAGATCTTGGAGTGGGATTAACATGGAAACAAGAATTTTCAGAAAGGGGACACATTGTTAGCGGTGTGACAGGAAAGAATTTAGGACATAAGAAAGAATAGATTACAGAATAGTGTGAGGGAATGAAAGACCACATAGTATATGGATTCCACTTACAGGAAATCTCCACAAGAGGCAGATAAATAGAAGCAATGTAGATTCGTGGTTGCCAGGGCCAGGGGCTCAGCTGCTAACTTAAATGTCTTCAGTGTGAACCCACCAGTGACTTCATCTGCTCCTATAAAGAGCACAGCCATGGAAGCCCTATTGGGCAGTTTTAATCTGTCCCGTAGGTTGGCGAGGCATCAGAATCAGCTCAGTGGATGAAAGCTATAGCAGTTTGCTTCTTGACTTGTTGCTACTATTAGGTGCCATGGGGTGTAATGACTCTTGGCAACAGGGATAAGCTGTCCAGTTCGCACCGTCGTTGCAAATCCTACAAGGCAGTTCTCTGTCCTAGAGGATTGACAGGCGTCCGAATTGACTCAACAGCAGTGGGTTGATTTGTTGGGGATTAATGGTTGTACAACTCTGTGACTATACAAAAAACACTGACTTATGTACTCTAAAGGGTGTCTTTTTTGTTATATGAATTATATCTCAAAGCCTTCTTGTAAAAATCCCAGATAAATTGGAGTCACTTGCTGGAGAACATTAAAATCCTAGGATATGTTTGAATTCATTCTAATGGACAACAAAGAACATTGTAGATTATGGGCATGGAATGGATTTTCTGTGGTTTCCTGTTTTTAATCTGGATTTTAACTCTAAATGAACATTCTCATTAACTGTCTTAAGGGGGGCGGGGCCGCATGTTAACTTGGTTCAAGGAGAAAGTAATGTGCAGTAAGAGCAGGTCAGCAAAAGAGGATAGAGGCAGACAGAAGTAAAAGGCAACCAAGGTAAATACTGGTGTGCACACCATCCTGCAATAGCGGTCTGCGAGTAGATGATGCATGGGTAGACCTTTCCGTCCTTTTTTCACTCCCCATAGATCACTACTATAAAACGTGTGGTTCTTGTCTCAAGCTTTTTTCCATGTCTGTTTTCCCTTTCAATACAGATGCTGCTGTTCTTAGGTGCTGTTGAGTCCGTTCCAACTCACAGTGACCCCATGTACAGCAGAAAGAAACACTACTTAGTCTTGCCCCATCCTCACATGGTTGTTATGTTTGAGCCCATAGATGTAGCCACTGGGTCAACCTATCTTGTTGAAGGTTTTCTTCTTTTTCACTGCCCCTCGATTTTACAACAAATGATGTTTATGGACTGGTCTCTCCTGATAACATGTCCAAATTATGTAAGACGAAGTCTCGCCACCTTTGCCTCTAAGGACCCTTTGTCTGTACTTCTTTCAGGACAGATTGATTTGTTCTTTTAGCAATTCATGTTACTTTCAGTATTCTTCACCAGCACCATAATTCAAATGCAGGGAGTCTTCGGTCCTCCTTAGTCCAACTTTCACATGCAAATGAGGAAATGAAGAATACCATGGCTTGGGTCAGGCACACCTTAGTCCTCAAAATAACATCTTTGCTTTTCAACTCTTTAAAAGAGGCCTTGTACGGTAGATTTACCCAATGTAATGTGCCATTTGACCTCTTGACTGCTGCTACCATGAACATTGATTGTGGATCCAAGCAAGACGACATCTTGAATCTTTTCTCCATTTACCATGATGTTACTTACTGGTCCAGTTGTACAGTGAGTTGTAATCCATACTGAAGGCTACAATCCTTGATCTTCATCATCCAGTGCTTCAAGCCCTCAGTTTTTAGCAGGCAAAGTTGTATCATCTGCAAAGCGCAGGCCGTTAATAATAAGCCTTCTTCAATCCTGACATTTCATCTAATCAAGCTTCTCTGATGATTTTTCCCAGCGTACAGATTGACTAAGTGTGGTGAGAGGATGCAACCCAGATGCATACCGTTCCTGATTTTAAATTGTGCGGTATTCCCTTATTCTGTTTGCACAACTGCCTATTGATCCCTGTACAGGTGTGTGGGATACAAAAAGGTTTTTCCCCAGGTTGTCTTCGCCAAATATACGCCAAACCTAAGACGCTGCTTGCTACACATGGTAAAGGACTGTACATTTGGAGGTCAACACAAGCCATCTAGAGCAATCAGACTGTATAGTCTGTCCCACCCTAAGTAGGGCCCACTCGCTTCTGATAAGGGTAGTGGAGTGTTTCCTTGAAGGAGAGCCCAGAGGCAAGGTCAACCCACTCAAGGATGACCAAGGTTAGGCTGCCATCTTGAGTCTAGGACCTTCCCATTTTGTCACATGTGTACCCCTAGTCCCTCCCTTTCCTATTATGTGTACATCCCTAGCTCGTCCCCTTTCTGTGATGCATATGCCTATTGTACAGGCCCTTCCTTTGATGAATGTGGTTATCTGGTATGGGGGGTAGGGGGCTTGCACATCCTTAAGTATATATAGGCCTTGGTCAGAAATAAAGAGGAGACGCTGTCTCTCACTCCTCCTCCTCCTCCCGCTCAGACATGGCTGCTGAGATTATGGCCAACC